ATGCTTGCTCTATCCTCTCCACTCATGCTCCAGTTCTGGCTCAGGCTGTCATCACTTCCTGCCAGTAACCTGTGTGTTTGATTTATTGGAGATTTGAGGGCTAGGCAGGAGACTGGTGAAGGCATATAGACGTGCAGTATGGAAGGTGTAGTGGGAGAGAGAAGTATGAAGAGAGGTACCCAGTGGCCTGTGCATTTGGAGAGGGTATGTTCACAGCAAGGAACTCAGATAGTCTGCAGGTAATGGGGAGGGCACAGGGGTTCCTGAGAACAGGTTATCCATCTATGTGAACAGGTGAGTGGATTTGGGGCTCAGATGTGAGTCACTAAGGGCATGGCTCAGGCAGTGTGTTGGCATGGATGTGGAAGGAGAGTGGGACTCTGCAGAGGTGGGCGAGGTTCCTGTAAGGAGCAGCGCTGAGGAGGTCTTGGCAGGACTGCACGGTGCCCTCTGCTGTTCCCACTATTGCAGTCTTCCCCATCCAACACACGCCTTTGGTCAGCCTAACTGCATCATGCTAACATGCACCGGGCACCTGCTCCGTGCCTGCCCCCATGAGGTACCGGGATCTAAAGTAGTGTGCGGTGGCAGCTCTCCAGATACTCAGTGGCTCCCTGGTGGGATATGTGCTGCACTGTGCGTCCTCGTCAGCAGGATGTGCCTTGGAGCTAATTCAGCTTTCTGAGTAGCAAGTCACTCTTGCTTTCAGAACTTGAGTTTTCTTCTTGGTGACCAAACCGTGGAAGATATAAGTGGCGTACTCGACAGTGCTAAGTACCCGTTCTTCTTTCCTTAACAGATTTATCACCGGATCCCCAACTCAGACCCATCTTCCAGCAAAACCAAACAGGTCATCTCCACCATCAGGACACAGAGCCTTCCCAACTGTCAGCTCATCTCCCGAAGCCACTACTCCCCCATTTACCTGTCGTTTGTCATGCTCTTGGCTGCCCTGAGCTGGCAGTACCTGAGCACCCTGTCCCAGGTCACAGAAGACTATATGCAGACAGGAGAACACTGATATTTTTATTTGGCTGGAAGCCGAAGTTCACATGAAATGGTTTAACCTTCCTCCTGGTGGATTTTGACTTCCCTTTCGCTTTCCCTACTTTAATCCCTCGGAGAACTATGTGTGGGACCTTTAGAAACTGCGGAGGAAAGGACGCCTGCCCCCAGCAGCCTGGTGCTTGTTGGGTTGTGGTCTGCCTCTTGTAGCCATTGGCAGCATGCTCACTGCTGCACTTTAGATGGGGTGGCCACACGTGATGGTCACAAGACCCTAGTGAACCTGGCTAGAGTAATAATTGAATTTATTTAATTTGAGACAGCCTTTGAATACCTATCACAATAGAAAATGAAGTGACTTTTCCTTCCATCTTGTTCCTGTTTTTCTCACCAGCTTGACAGTGAAAGGCGTTAATCATCATTGCTCTAGGTGAGGCTGCCAAGCTTCCCAAGAGTGCAGGTGTGTCTTTCTCACTCAAAGGGCTCTTAAGCATTCATCGGTGCCATTGGTCACTTGTCAGAAGCGTGGCCTCCAGTAAAAGCTTTTGATCTTGAGAATTTTATAATAGCATGTCCGGGCTGGAATATAACTTGGGTGGTAGAACAGTTGCCTAATATACACAAGGCTTGTTTTAGTTAAGGCGTCTGTTGCTATGAAGAAAGACCATGACCACAGCAACTCTTAGAAAGCATTTGAGGTGGCGGTTTATAGTTAAGGGTTTCAATCCATTATCATCATGGTGAGGAGCATGGCAGCATGGAGGTAGACATAGTGCTGGCTACATCTTGATCAGAAGGCAACAGGAAGTTGACTGACACATTGGGCGGTATCCTGAGCATATGAAACCCTAAAGCCTGCCCCCACAATGACACACTTCCTCCAGCAAGGCCACTCCTAATAGTGCCACTCCCTTTGGGGTTAAGGGGCCAATTACATTCAAACTACCACAAGGCCCTACATTTGATCCCCAGCACCACAAAGTAACAAATTAAAAATCGCTTGTAATGACTGAGTTTGTAAAATGCAGGTTACCTGGAAGACCAGACAGATGATAGTGATTTTAAGGCCCTGTCATCTGTCGCCGCAACAGAGGGCTTGGTGGCTACCTGCTGTTACTTGTGGAGGAGCAGATCACCTTGCTGCTCCAGCCTGCCACTGGCATCTGCCCTACCAGCCTCTGAAGACCTTTGTTTCAATTTGCCCTCCCATGTTTTTATACTGAAATTCAAGATAAAGGACGGCAGACATGAAGATCAGTTCTTTTATATAAGGTAGTTTCGTTTTGAATTCTAACCTGGTCTGCTCCATTGTCATGATGGCCCCTGGCTACCTGTGTATCTGAAGCCAGCGATACAGGCATGACAGCAGAGAGAATCTAGGCAACATGCTGGCTTGTTTCCCATTACAACACAACACCCGAGGCCAGCTGCTTTACCAAGGAAAGAGGTTTATTTCCTTTATAGCCTAGGAGGATGAAGAGCCAAGATGAGGTGGCCCCATCTTTAGTCTCTGGAGGGCCTTATGGGTAATAACACCACATTGGTGGGAAGACATGCAGGAGAGGGCACAGGAAGCAAGAGACAGTCAAAGCCCAGGCATGTTGACAGGCTTAAACTAGCTCAGGTTGGCCTGGAAATCTCTGTATCCTTGAGCTTAATGATGATCCCCTCCCTCAGCTTTCTGAATGCAAGGGTTCCAGAAATGAGCCATCCCATTCTTGGTCTCAGAACTAACTCTGGAAGACAAGCGTTGACCCCCTTTGAGGACAGTACCTCCAAAACCTTGCACTGTGCCTCAGCCGTCTCACTGCCACGCTGTGGACCAAGCTTCCAGCATTTGACCTTTTGGGGGACCCCATGTATTTATAGCACACTCTGCTCCCCTGTTCAGCCTACTGGGTATGCTGACTTCACCACTGAGGTACCACAGCCAGCACGGCAGTTCATGCAGCATTTTATGCAAACACAGATTTCCTTACTGTGACTGGGGTACCACTTGGGGCATAGAGACTTCATTTAATTGGTTGGTTGTGGTTCAACCTTGGACCAGCATCACCCTGTTGAAACTAGTCAAAGTAATGCATTACATGATTCTTTAACTTCTCTTCAAAAGAAACACAAACAGAAAAGCTCGTCCTTACAATATTCCCAGTACCTGGGAGGCAGAGGCAGAAGGATTGGGAGTTCAAGGTCATTCTCAGTTGTGGAGGTCAGCTACATAAGACCCCATCTCTAATAAAACCCAAAGACTTTTCCCATGGCAGTAAAGCACAGGATGCCACGCTCCCCTTGAATTCCAAATAGTTTTGTTTATATCCAGATTAATTTAGCATGGAACATTTCTATAAAGCCATTTATCTGAAACATATAATAGTTTACATCTGACACACCTACCTTACCCCCCCCCCATTTGTTATTTTGTTGCTAGGCACTGAACCAAGGGTCTTGCTTGGAACATATGTTGGAGAAGCCCTCTTTCTACCAATGAGACAGCCCCAGTCTGCTTCTGACTCAATGGAATTTATAGCATCTCCAGTGTAGCCACTTGATTCCTTACACATTGGAGTGTGCTGTCTTCCTCAGAAGTCCAACCGTGTCCAGCCATTATGGCCACTGGAAGGGCCTGGTCTACCTTTCTGGAGCCTCTGATTATCTGCAAATCATACCTGGGGCAGCCCCTTGGAGGTTTCCCCTGCTGCGTCATTTTCCAGGATCTCCCGTAACTTTCACTAAGATCAGTGTGTACGTGATTGCTCTGGAACCAGACTTCTGACCAAGTAAGTCTAGCATGGTGCCTGATGAGTTCCTGGGAGGCATGAATGCTTTTGGTCAAAGGACCCGTTTGGAGACCACTGCCCAAAAGTTAATGTACCTAAGAATGACCTAGTCAGGCAGCAAATGACTACTTGAAGGCCCGGCACTAACTGACCCTGGCTCAGTTTGAGGATCACATGCAACACCAGCACTCTTACAGCACAGTGCTCCAGTTTAACATGTAGAAAGGGAAGGATGTGTAAAATCTGAACCATCAAAGGCCCTGTGGGCAGGCTGAAAAGGAAATGCCCTTCTACCTACTTTTTATCTTTTGAAACAGGGTCTCATTGTAGACCAGCCCAGGTAGGCCTCAAACTCTCAGAGATTCTCTTCCTCTGCTTCCTGAGTGCCCGTTTGTCATTTTTTGCCCAAGGAACACTGCTACTGACTTGGGCACAGGCAACAACCCACAGGTAATCTGTTTATGGAAGGCATCCAGAGCTGTCCCCAAATGTACAACAAGGCAGGTTTCTCTCCTGGGCTGCTTCTCTTAGCCCGTCTCCACAGGCTGTAGGGTAGGAATGGAATTGCAGGTGGGCATGTGCTGAGCTCTAAGACAGGCAGCGGAGGAGGAACTATTTGATGCAGATAAGGGACAAGAACTGTCTTGCAGTACTGAAGCCCCAGCATCCAAGCCAGGTTAACCTCTGACTCACGTCTCCAGCACTCAGCAGGCTTTAAGAGCTCAATATAGTTCTGATCCCTAACTTAGGGAAAGGCAAACTTCCTCAGCTTCTAGAAAGAACCAGCCCCTCCCACTTAGCAGGAAAGTAACAGGTCAACAGGATAATAAAGTGAATGCTGATTAGGGGGACGCCTACTGTTCTCTCTGAACTAAACTATGATTTTATAAATGAATTCCTTAACCAACCGTGTAATTCAGTAACCAAGAAAACTTAAAACATGGTGCACAAGCTTTGGCTCCACCCCAAGGAGATGGGGCCCTCTAGAAGGTAACAGTCCGCTCTCACGTGAAATAGACACAGCATGCCAGGCGTAGTCAATGTGCAGCTCGCCTGTCTCTGAGCAGAAAGACTCCAAGGTTGAGCACAGCCCTGGGGATGGCTTAGAGAAGGGTTTCAGAGGGTGACAGGGAACTAAGGAGAGAGGTACAAACAGCTTGAAAACGCAGCCCAGGACTGTTCACCCTGCCCCCAGGAGGCCACGAAGCAGACATCAGGCAGAGGGAGAACTGGTTTATTGGCACAGTCAATAAACTTGTTAAACTGACAGGGTGAAGTGGCGACTCTACAACATAAAAGAGGGTTCTTGCCAGACCAGCGTTACTGTGGTGTCTGAGGTCAGTAGGTCACCCAGCAAACCAGGGCCACTTGTTTTAAGCCATACAATTAGGAGAGAATCTGTAGAACTAGTACAGCTCTTCAACTAATTAGACCTGTTTGTTTCACATACTCAGTTGAGGTGCACAAAAAAATAAAAACTCCTATTGAAAACAAGCATTGGCTGAGGACAAGACCAGGGAGGGCTCGCCACATCACCAATGTGGCGATGGACACAGGTGTCCCGGGAAAAGGTAGCTTTCTCCAGAGAACTGCACCGGGCAACATCAATGCTTGCCACCGACTAAGGAAGTGACGGGCTTCAAGGTGCAGCTGACAGGTGGCATTTGTCCTCATCACGAAGTTGGTGTTCCATTCTTTTGGAAAACTTGCAACCAAAGCCTATCCTGCTCTAGAGAAACCAGGGTGGGGGTGACGGGGTGGCAGGCAGAGCCACAGCAGCAGGCACTACAAACAGCACTGGTCTAGGGGGAGGCTAGGATGCAGGCTGTGTCACTGCCGTGGAACAGGCTGGGAGGGAGCCAGCTAAGGACAGAATGAAGAGGACAGCTCTGATGGCAGGTCGCTCTGGACCAGTTGCTCAAGCCTCGATGGAAGCTTCGTGAATCGTAGGTGAATTCAGCGAATCAAAGACTGTCCTGTCTGCCTCACTCCCAGCCTGGGCAGCTAAATTTAGGGAAAATTCCCTAAGGACTGGCCAACCGGGTCACAGCATATTAGAATCTTCCCCAGTACTGGTCAGTGCGAGGGATCCCAGCCACAATTTCTGATTCAATTCCACAGTGGTCTTCTCCTCTGAAGATTTTAAAGAGGCCTGGGGAGGGGGAAAAAAAAAAACTGCTTTCAAAAGTGTGCTCTGGGTTTGGTCTAAACCTTGCTTTTAGATGGTGTCCCACTCTGTAACCCAAGCTGGTCACAAACTCCACCCTTCAGCCTCAGCATCCTTAGTGTTTCAGCTACAGGAGTGCAGGGATTGCGGCCACCATGTCCAGCAGCCTTGGGTCTTGACACCTGTTGGTATACTCAGATTCATCCAGACCAGGGGTGAGTCACGCGGCCCCCAGCATCATCTAAGAGACATCCCTTGGTTCCCTCCACACTCTGCCTGTGCAATGGAACCTGTATACAGAACCATGAGGAGCTGGGGCTCAGAATGGTCCAAAGTATCTACACACTTAGGCAGTCAGGGCCACACCTCAGGCCACAGTGGAGCAAAGGGGCTCATGGCTCATTATGTAGTCTGAGGAAGAGGACTGCTACTCACCATTATCACCCCAGTCAACGTTCCAAGAGTTGGCTACCAGCCAGTAGGGGACTCCATTCTCTACTCCCCAGCCCAGGATGCGGATGGCGTGACCGCCCAACACGTCACCAGTCACATGCTTGTATACTCCTGAGGAAGAAAAAGGCAGTCTTGACTACACGCAGGCTACTGCCTGCCCAGAGTCCCCAGAGACAACAGGCTGACAGGAACCAATCACTCCCCTACACAGAAATCTCTAGAAGACTGGAGAAGGGCTCAGGATGAGCAAGGCCATGGAATCCGAGGGAATGGCACTATCTGAAAGAATAAGAAGGATAAGGGATGTGGTTGTGGTCTTGTGTGTCAGTGGGGGTGGGTGTTGAGGTTTCAAAAGCCAGGCCTAGTTGTCTCTATCCTGTCCCATACTCTCTCCCCATCCCGTCTGCCTGTGGACTAAGATGCAGCTCTCACTGTTCCAGCATGTGTGCCACCATGCTCCCTGCCATGATGGTAATGGACTGAGCCTCTAAAGCTGTGATCCAGCCCCCATTAAATGCTTTCTTTCATAAGAGTTGCCTTGGCCATGGTGTCTCGTCATAGCAATAGAACACTGAGTAAGCAAAGGAGTGTCTCTTCACAGCAGCGGAACAGTGACTATGACAAGGGTATCCATAGTATCAGGAGATTATAACTATACACATATGTATGTGTATATATGTATAGAAGGTGTGTGTGTGTGTGTTTGAGAAAGGGTCTAAGAGGCCCAAGTTGGTCTCAAACTCATAATCCTGCCTCTGCTTCCTGAATGCTGGGATTACACATGGCTGCCAGTATACCTGACTAAGTGTGTGTGTGTATTTTGAGAAAGGGTCTTATTAAATAGCTTAGCTGACTTGAAACTCACTGTGTGGGCCAAGCTAATCTCAAACTCAGCAGTCTGCCTGCCTCTGCCTTTTGAGTGCTGGAATTATATCCACCATGACCGGCACTGTAGAAATATTTTGGGAAGCCCAACACACTTAAGTATGCAAATTAATATTAAAATGGGATCCTACAAAAATATCAATTGGTTGGCTTTAAAATAAAGATCCACCTTTAATCTGGGTCTGATCTAATGGCAGCCTATAGGAAGGACATGGAAGAAGGAAGCGCTCTCTCTCTCTCTGCCTGCTTGTTCTCACTAGCAAGTCCATTCCTTCATGTATTAGACTTCTTTGGGATTCCGGTGTATACTTAAGACCAGCTTAGACATCCAGCCTCGTGGACTGAACAACTAATGGATTCTTAGACCTTCCATTTATAGACAGCCATTGTTGGACTATCTGGACCACAGCCTATAAGTCATTCTAATAAATCCCCTTTAGATAGCTAGATGGAGGAGGGGAAGGAGAGAGAGAGATGATAGATAGATAGATAGATAGATAGATAGATAGATGATAGATCTATTCATTCTGTAAATTCTGTTCTTCTGGAGCAGTGTTCTCAACCTTCCCAATGCTGTGGCCCTTTAATACAATTCCTTATGTTGTGGTGACCCTCCAACCATACAATTATTTTTGTTTCTGCATATAAACTGTAATTTTGCTACTGTTACGAATCATAATGTAAGAATCTGATATGCAGGATGTATTTTCACTGTTACAAACTGACCCAAAGGAGTTGGCCGGTTAGCTCAGTTGGTTAGAGCGTGGTGCTAACAAACTGACCCAAAGGGATCACGACCCACAGGTTGAGAACCACTGCTCTAGACGACCCTGACTATACAGACGCTATGAGTTGCTAATCACAAGTCACATTTGTGATCCCGGCTACGTGGAAGGCTGAGGTGACCTAGGCCCTTGCAAAGATAAAGAATGACAATGTCAAATGTGGATGAGACACAGGACAGGAGTGGCTGCTATGGCTGCTATGGAAGGACAATCATCCGCAGAGCAAGGGGCGGAGCTGGCTTGCAGGGATGGAAAGGAACCCTAGAGAGGCCCTGTGGAGACCACTCTCAGAGGGAGTCAGTGAGCACAGCAGTGGGAAGCCGTGACCGTCATCAGCTGACTATCTATCTGCCCGGAAGAGTGGGGAGGGAGGTTGAGTCCCAGGGTTCTGCTCTCCCAAAGCCTCTGCCTACCTCCCAGTGAGACCTGCTGGCTCATATGGACCCTGGAGTCAATAGATACCTGATTTGTAAGTCAAGAAGTCTGAATACACAGTGAAGGCACCCTCCACTGGGCCATTTTTGTAGATTTCCGCCATGATCTCCTTCTCACTGTTAGACACGCTGTAGGAAGAGTACCCTGCAGAAGGAACAAAGCGAGTGAGAAGGTGCCTCCAGCCTCTCTAGCCCTCCAGAAGAGGCCAAGAAGACCCTACGGTTTAAAACCAGGTTCTAACCCTTGTGAAACAATGGTCTGCCTAGTCCCCTAGAGCTCAAATGGGCTGAGGCAGGGCAGAGTATGGACCAGAGTATGGAGTGTGAAGCTCTGCCCGGGAGCCAGGTGTGAATTACTCGACTTCCCTTCTTCCTGCTGCTCCGGGGGTTTCTCTGTGTAGCCCTGCTGTCCTGGAACTCTCTCTGTAGACTAGACTGGCCATGGACTCAGATATCTGCCTGCCTGTCTCCCAAGTGCTGGGATTAAAAGCACGCACCCCTACCACCCCCGGTGCTGGATTCTTTTTTTTTTTTTTTAATATTTATTTATTTATGATGTATACAATATTCTGTCTGTGTATATGCCTGCAGGCCAGAAGGGGGCACCAGACCCCATTACAGATGGTTGTGAGCCACCATGTGGTTGCCGGGAATTGAACTCAGGACCTTTGGAAGAGCAGGCAATGCTCTTAACCTCTGAGCCATCTCTCCAGCCCCCGGTGCTGGATTCTTAACACTCAATAGCATTGGCCTCCTCCCCCCTCAGAAGGCTCTGGCTTACCATAGTGCTTATCTTCTTTGTAGGATGGGGAATAGCCAGCCTCACAGCTCTTGGTACACTTGGGAGTGTCTCCTCCTTCTCCAGAGCACTGGGGCCGGGAGCCATTGACATGGTGCTCACAGGGAGGTATGGTATATGGTAAGCAGCCTGAGAGATGGAGGGGACAAGATGACATCAGCCTGCAACCCACAATGCAAGGCTTCCTTCCCCAGGCCAGGTAGAGCTGGGATGCAACCAGACCATGTCTACTTCCCGTAGGGGCTGCTCCTGTACTGAAGGTGGCCCCTCTACCGCTGACCCTCCCTTTACAACAGAAAAGGAAGCCACCAACACCTGCCCATGAAACCCACCTGAGAGACAGGGGTTGTAGGCACATACTCACCTACATGGGAATTGTAGAGTCCACCAGAAACCAGGCCTTTTTTGGTCCAAAAGTTCCATGCTCCAGAGGGATAGCCACCATTACAGCTGGAAAAGAGCATCTATCAATGTTGAGCTAATCCCAGCTTTTCCCACACATCACGGCAAATATCAAGGTCGTCCCTGGAATCCACAGTCCTCACAAGACTGCTCTCACAGCCTGATATCCCGAGTCATTCTCTCGCCACTGTCATCCCACCAGGGACTCGATTCAGCTCCATTTCTGTCCACAAGGACCCTCCAGGACACAAGGACCCCCTTTTTTCCATGTCTATATCAAACTGACCTTCAAAGCTCCCCTTTCTGGAACAGTGGTTCTCAAAACTGCACAAGATGTTATAAGTCCCTGAGCACAGCAGTCCCCTCCCTTAACTGTAGTTTAATTTCTCTCTCTCTCTCTCCCTCTCTCTCTCTCTCTCTCTCTCTCTCTCTCTCTCTCTCTCTCTCTCTCTCTCTTTCTTTGAGACAGGGTCTCTCTATGAAGTCCTGGCTGTCCTGGCACTTACTCCCAAGTGCTGAAACTAAAGGCATGTACCACTACACCTGGATAGTTTGATTTCTGAGGTTTTAGTTATGCCTTCAACTAAGGTTCAAACATATTAAGTGGAAAATTCCAGAATTAATTTCTCAATTTTAACTTGCACACTGTTCTGAGTAGCATGGTAAAATCTCACACTCCTTGATCCATTCAGCATAGAACATCAATCATCCTTGTCCGGAGTATCCATGCTGTATAAGCTATTATCTCTAGTCAACTAAAAGCTATCTTGGTTATCAAATCCACAGCTGTGTGTTGTGGAATATTCGTTAAAGATGTATTGCATACATTTATGCGTGGAATATTTAATGATGCAAAGATGTGTTGCATTCTTTTGTTACATTTGTTTAATGCTGGAAAGCTTTGTTACTTTGTCTAAAATACCTGACTGGTCTAACAAAGAGCTGAACCTTCAACAGGGAGACAGGAGAGAAATGACAGGTGGGGCTGCCAGGCAGAGAAAATGATTAGGAGGAGCGAGAAAAGGAGAAGGAGAAGAAGATGCCAGGGGTCAGCCACCCAGCAACACAGCCAGCTATGGAATAAGAAGGAAAGAAAGAATTAGAATAGAGAAAGGTAAATGCCTAGAGGCAAAAGGTAAATGGGATAATTTAAGTTAGCAAAGCTGACTAGAAACAAGCCAAGCTAAGGCCAGGCATCCGGAAGTAAGAATAAGTCTCCATATATTTATTTGGGAGCTAGGTGGTGGCCCCCAAAGAGTGACGAGTAAAAAGCCAACAACAGCTGTGAGGCTGTGGTGTGGGTTTAAGTAATCCTTGATGGTCAATTCTAAGAGTGGCGATACTGGCAGCTCAGGCATGCCAAACGAAAGCTGGAAATGCCTTCTTCATGTGAAAAGGCCCAAGTTCTGAACTTAATGAGAAAAAGTAAATCATAAATTGAGGTTGCTGAGATCTATGGTAAGAATGACTCTACTATGCCTTACATCATGAAGAAACAAAGATTCATGTTGGCTCTACTGCCACCCGTTGGACTCTAAAGAGTTATGGCCTCCGGGCGGTGATGGCGCAGGCCTTTAATCCCAGCACTCGGGAGGCAGAGGCAGGAGGATCTCTGTGAGTTCGAGGCCAGCCTGGTCTATGGAGCAAGTTCCGGGACAGGCTCCAAAGCTTCAGAGAAACCCTGTCTCGAAAAACAAACAACAACAAAAAAGAAACACACACACACAAAAAAAAAACCAACAACAACAAAAAAAAAAAAGGAGTTATGGCCACAATGAACATATGTTCAGCTAAGATGGAAACAGAGTCCAACGGGTGGCAGTAGAACCAGCATGAATCTTTGTTTCTTCATGATGTAAGGCATAGAAGAGTCATTCTTACCATAGATCTCAGCAGGCAGATACAGGATTATGCCCCTGATTTAAGACGTCTACTTGGGGCGGGGGCAGGGGCGGCTGGACTGTTTGCAAAATGAGGTCTGGTGTCCTTTGCAGCTCCAACGCACTAGGCAGAATATGGAAGAACGGGGCTCTGTCTGGGGAGAGGTGGGACTACCTTGCTGCTCTCACACTATTGGGGTGAGGCCCACACACATTCCTTTTGGAACTTTCAGGAATGTCTAAACTGCACCACTGCTACAGGCTAAGGGCCAGGGGACCCTGGTAAGCGCTTGAGTTTACATACTGAGTTTAGTGTGACCCTACTCCCCAGCTGGGATCTGTCATCCTTATAGAGTAGACTGGTATACTTCTCTGAGTTGGGGGGTAAGGGAAGTGATGGGGGACAAGTGGGACAAGAGCCAGACAGGGAACAGAAAGTAAGCAAAACTTTTGAAGATCATATTCTGCCAGCACTCCATGTCCCGAGAAGCTCAACAGCGGCAGCTGTAACAAGTCTGCCTGCAGACTCCCAAGTCTCCCTCTGTCCCAGCCACAAAACAGCTTTCCCCTCCCCAGGGAGCCCTGAGTTACTCAGTACAAAGGAGGAAGGGGCTAAGGGTCTCCAGGAAGAGGTGTCCAATAATTACCCTTCCCCACACTGGAAACCACAGCAGGTGAGCAGGTCCTGAGCAGACACCTCCACATTGACATGGCCATTGGTGTGGATGCAGATTCGGTCAGACATGGCTTCCACTGCCCCGAATGCCTGTAGGAATAGGAAGTCCCACCTGGTGAGGAGCCCATCTTAACTAAAGCAAGGAGAGTCCTGGACATGCTCCACCTTCTCCCCTAACTCTCCCTTCCAGCTTGTGCTGGCTGATTCCAGTTTGTTCCAAACCTACTCTCACTGCCCCGAATGCCTGTAGGAATAGGAAGTCCCACCTGGTGAGGAGCCCATCTTAACTAAAGCAAGGAGAGTCCTGGACATGCTCCACCTTCTCCCCTAACTCTCCCTTCCAGCTTGTGCTGGCTGATTCCAGTTTGTTCCAAACCTACTCTCACTGCCCCGAATGCCTGTAGGAATAGGAAGTCCCACCTGGTGAGGAGCCCATCTTAACTAAAGCAAGGAGAGTCCTGGACATGCTCCACCTTCTCCCCTAACTCTCCCTTCCAGCTTGTGCTGGCTGATTCCAGTTTGTTCCAAACCTACTCTCACTGCCCCGAATGCCTGTAGGAATAGGAAGTCCCACCTGGTGAGGAGCCCATCTTAACTAAAGCAAGGAGAGTCCTGGACATGCTCCACCTTCTCCCCTAACTCTCCCTTCCAGCTTGTGCTGGCTGATTCCAGTTTGTTCCAAACCTACTCTCACTGCCCCGAATGCCTGTAGGAATAGGAAGTCCCACCTGGTGAGGAGCCCATCTTAACTAAAGCAAGGAGAGTCCTGGACATGCTCCACCTTCTCCCCTAACTCTCCCTTCCAGCTTGTGCTGGCTGATTCCAGTTTGTTCCAAACCTACTCTCACTGCCCCGAATGCCTGTAGGAATAGGAAGTCCCACCTGGTGAGGAGCCCATCTTAACTAAAGCAAGGAGAGTCCTGGACATGCTCCACCTTCTCCCCTAACTCTCCCTTCCAGCTTGTGCTGGCTGATTCCAGTTTGTTCCAAACCTACTCTCAGCTTCCACTTGGCAGGAGTCTGAATTAAAACAAGCCTGCACCCTCAGGAACATCCACCTATAAGCCTGGTCAACAGGAATTCCACACTGAGGGTCCCAAGATTGTCACCTGAAGTATATGGAGCCTTCTGAATGGTGAGATCCTTTCAACGTCAGGTGAGGTTCACACTTAGCATTAAAGAGACCAATCCAAGCCTGGCTGAGGACTTGGCTCACAAGGAGCAGATTCCAACAGAGAGCAGATGGAAGCCCCCACAGGCAGAGGAGGGCGACAGGGAGTCAGTAGGACCAAAGTGGTCCATTTGGGGCAGATGAAAAGACCGTGTGGATGGGCAGCAGAGATGGCCACCCAACACTGGGAGCATATTTAATGCCACTGGACTACATACTTAGTTAAGAGGGTTGCATTTTCTGTCATTCATATTTTGCCACAGTTCAAAAACCACAGACTAGCTCACAGACGGAACACCCATGAAGCTGTACTGCATCAGAGCAGATGTGTTTACTGAGGAACACGGCTCCACAGCCTGTTCCTGGACCTCGATCTCAGGACCCCACTGTATGTCCATCATCCACTTCATCCCTGCAGCAATTCCCAAACCACAAAGATCAGAAACCGTAGCGACGGAAAGAAACTGACTCCAATATGGCTCGCCCCATCTGGTCCCTCCCTAGATACCCCATCACATCCCAACTAGACTTCAGGAAGCCAGCCCCACCAGCAGGGTCTTACCCAGCAAGAGCCGCAGGAGCCCTGGTCTCTAATCTGTTTGATAGTTGGGCAGTTGGGCCACTGTTCCCGTGCATCGAAGTTTTCAGGTAGATCCATGTCCTCAGCGAACCCAACTCTGGGGCAAAGAAGGACTCCATTACAAAGCACAATTTGCTCCCCTATCCCTGAGAGGACAGGTAAAGAGCGGCTGTCCCTGGATGGACTGTCCATCCTAGAGAGGTGGTGAGACACAGGCAGGTGTGCTTTGCCACTTTATGCTGTCCAGCCAGACTCAGCACTGTGTACACACCCTCGCCTGTGCTTATTTAATGGGTATTTTTCAAACATTCTACCTGTGAGATGCTCTCTCTCTCTCCCTCCCTCCGCCCCCCTCAGACAGGGTCTGACTATGTAGCCCAGGCTAGCCTGAACTCCTTAGTGAATATTGGAGTTACAAGCATACCCCATCATGCCTCATTCAAACCACTTCAGCAACACTAATCCTTCAGGTTTCTTAAGGCTGGTGTGGTGGAGGGGTGCAGGTTCACCTGTACCTTAGTCTTTTCTTTTAGATTTATTTATTTAGTGTACGAGTGGCTTGCCTGCATGGGTGTCTGTGCACTTCGTGTGTCAGAAGATACCAGATCCCCTAGAACTGCAGCTACAGATGTGTCTGAGCCACCACATAGGTGCTAGGAACTGAACCCAAGTCCTCTGCAAGAGCAACAAGTACTCTTAAGCACCGAGCCATCTCTCCAGCCCTGGGATTCATTTTATTTTCCTTGAACAGGCATTTAGCAATGCACGAGGGTGTTATGTGCCTACCCTAGATGGTACAGCTGTCTACAGAAACCATTCCAATTCTCTCACTACGTCTGCAGCCAAGTCAAGCATGTGTAAGTCCTCAATTTGATGCCCAGGACTGAGGTCGGGGCTGGATGTAGAGGGGCATTGTCTGGCAGGAAGAACATGAGTTCAAGGCCATAGCAAGACCCCTCAGGGCACAGTGTAGCTGTGTGGCTTTAATCAGAAGAGAGAGCCAAGCAAAGTCCTGCAGTATGGGCCTGTGATCCTGTACAAATATTGCCCTGATTCTAAATGCTTCTAATCTCTTCCCACCTAATGTGGAATTTTAAAATATTAAGCTGTGCCTTGCCTACAGCCTGACCTGAGTTAGATAACATCATCACTGTCATGTACCAACACTTGAATACCTCATCCTTGACAGACATCCTAATCCTTGCTAAGAAGAATTCTACATGAGTATGCCCACAAGGTAGTAAATCCAGATTTTGAGGCAGTCTCTGCAGCCCAGAAGACCACACCTAGGGAATCCAGAGAGGGCTTTCTCTACCTCTGCCTACACCCTAACACTAGTACTACTGCTCACAAGCCAATATGCAGGGGCAGTGTCTACTCTGGGGGGGGGGGGGGGGTCACTCACCTTTCAGGCAGCTTGGGTCCACCCAGGATGGTACCACACAGCTTCTTCAGGTAGCTGATGTCAACATTGTAGAAGTTTCTTCCAGCCTGAAAGAGAGTCACACCAGGACAGTCACCCATGGGGGATTTCCCGGGATGGTAGGTCAAGGGTCTTGCCCAATTCTTGGAGCTACGGTAACAGGCAGAGCGATTCAGGGTCAGCACTGCTCTCAGACCGCTGTGTCTTCTCTACTTTGCTGTAGTTTGTTAACAGGAGAACCTGCCCAGACTGGAGGAAGTGATGGCATGAAGTACCACCAAGGAACCGCCTCACCTTCCAGGGTAGTTTTCCTAGGGTCAACCTGATTTGGGAGCTCACTATACCTCCACACACCCCCATGTACAAGTGTTCACACATGTGCGTACTCCCATGCACACAACGTGGAGCTCAGAGGAAGCTTCAACTTCCAGAAAATACTGTCCTACGGCCAGTTAGTCACCTCAGAGGCAGTGTGCACAAGGTGACTCAAAGCAGGGACCCACAGAAACAGACGGGAAATGGCAACACTGCCCACCTGCCATGTCGTATTTTGTTTGTTGATATAGTTAATCAGGTCATCAGACAGTGGGTGGAAGGAAGGACTGTCGTTGGCACTTGCCAGTGCCAGCAGGCAAGAGAGAGAGATCAGGGACCACCACATTCTGGAAGCCGGATCTGCACCCACCTAGAAAAAGACATAGATAGCATCAAAACAATTTCTACACAAGGACACTGCTCAGGCCTCCTGGATGCCTTTATGGCCCCAATACGAAGCCTGGTTTGATGGGATCCTGCAACACAACACATGGCAGTATGCATGTCCCCTCCTGGCTATTTTAAAACTGTCTGCACCTCATCAACAACTAAGCTTAAGAGATTCTTCCAGTGCTCTAGAAGGACAGCTATCCTGAAGCTGGATGTGATGTAAACCCTGCACTAAGGAAGTTAGGGGTGTGAGACTTCAGCCTGGGCCATGTAGCTACAACCTGCCTCAAAACAAACAAAAACCAGTCAGTCTGTGTGGGTTATGTCCTAAGGGGGGCCAATGGGTGAGAAAACTAAGAGGAGTCATGTTCACAGCCTCACTTAAAAACATTCGAAATGATTTTGCTGCATGTATGTGTGACCATGTGCAGGTCTAAGGACATGAGGTTCTGGGAACCAGTTCTCTCTTCTACTTCAGGCCTGAGTCATCTCCCCAGTTCTGCAAGCTCCACTCCTGGCATATTTCAAGCCAACAGAAGCTGGACTGTGTTCGTTGCTGAGAACTATGGAACCATACTGAATATGCCAGGGGCACCAGGCTCTCAGGAGCCCCTCTGGTTTTTCCTGTCAACCAAGGGCTTTGCTTCCAGCTCCTGAGAAGGAAAACTTATTACATCAATACCTTGGCCTCTGGACCTTGTGAACTGGTTTCAGAGTCAGGAGACCAGCCATTTCCTGCTCAAACCATGAGTCACCCTCTTGAGCAAGTAGCTTTTAAAGGCCAGGTCTTTCCTGGGTATTGACAGTTAGGGCTGGGCCTAGAGGAAGCAACAGTAGGTGTGGGTGGGGCTGGGACTCTGTCTCGACTGTAGGACTCACAGAAGCAAGTGCGCTACATCAGGGTCACGTGTTGTAAGGACACTGGAACACAGACTTACACACTTAGAGAACTTTTGGTGGAGTGGGAAGTTAAGACAGGATCTCACTTAGCCCAGGTTGGCCTGCCTCTGCTTTCTGAGTGCTGGATCATAGGCATAAAAGCATACTGAAGGAAAACTAAAAACTCTCATTTAAGTTCAAGCAACAGAGTTAGATCCTCAATGTGTTACAATGATGGTAAGTCTGGTGTGTGTGTGGGGGGGGGGGGTGTTGAGCAACAACTCAGCCATAAGTACAATGTGTATGGACAGAAAGACTATTCTGAAAAAGATCCCATGAAGGCCTTCTAGACATCATGATATATTATAAAATGCCTGGTGATACTAGCTCAGAAAAGTTCCATTAAAAAAAAAAAAGTCAGATTACTCAAAACTCATCTTGGGTATGGGGAAAAAGCGTGTGTGGGCCAGGGAAAGAGGAAGTGACAACACACTCCTGCAGATGTGCTTGCACAGCTGGCTGCCCATCCCGGGAAAACAAGGAGGGCCAACTATGCACACCTGGCGACATCAAAACATGTAAGCCTGAGCACGTTTGTGAGGCGTGCTTGTAACCCTAGTGCTCTGGAGGCTGAGAAAGGAGGAGCAAGGGTTCAAGGCTAGCCTGGGCTACACCAAGATACAGAAAACAAAACAAGCGAAAAGCCCAAACAAAACTAACTCCCTGGAAAGCCTAAAACTAGCATAAAACAAAACCAGTTAGGCGGCACATTAAAATTAAAAGTGTTATGCTGGTGGGATGGCTCTGCAGGTAAAGGGACTTGCAGCCAAGCTCAGGGACTTGAGTTTAATGTCCTGCTTGCTGAAGGAGAGATCTGACTCTTACAAGCTGTCCTCTGACCCCCATGTGCACACGCACAACAAATAAACAAGTCTTCATAATAAAAACAGCAACCAAGATATATGGGAAAAGCAGTGCTCCCATTAAAGGCTTTGGGTCCTCCATAAGACAAGACTTGAACGTCAGAGGACTTGGGGCTGAAATGTAGCCGAGCAGAACATGGGCTTAGCGTAGAAGAGACTCCGGATTCTAACCGCAGCACCACACACTCTCACGTCAGAAACACAGGAGAGGAAAATGGATGTAGCAAGCACAGAAAAAGTGCAAATGGCCAAGGCAGATATGAACGTGTTCAGTCTCAGGGAGCATAGGTAAAATTGAGAAGCTGTCAGTCTCAGAGGCCAAAGCAGGTTGCTTCTTCTCCTGGGGGAGAGCAAAAGAGAAGCCAGCCTAGACCTGTCAGCTGGAACCTAGACACATGACGTCTGCATATGGACATTAGACATTTACCTGCTACACAGTGACCCCAAAACACACCGACACAAGCACCGAACACTTGAACACAAGCCCGTAAGTGAGACAAAAGTCCAATGGCATAGTAACTGGGAAATCACTGCAAGCGGCTAAACAGCCACCCAGAATGAACTAGCTAAGGGAAACCACACTGCAGAAATGAAGTAAAACCACCCCAGCGACACAGTTAGGTGAGAAAGAAGCAGCAGATAACTGGGGGACACAGGGGCCGTGTCTGCTAGTGAGCAGGTCAGGGGCAGAGACATAGTGTTGTCCTAAGGAAAGCACACACAGGCAGTGGCCGCACCCTGAGGGCTCCTTTTCCGTCTTGTACGGCTATAATGCACGAGCGCGAAAGTTCGTGCGCACAGCACTTGGTTCTCAGTTAAAGCAGGTGGGCTCAAAAGGTCGGGCTTGGTGGGAGGTCTTGGTGTGACCCCCCCCACCTCATTTCTGTTTTCCCTTCTAGCTATGTAGGGGCTCCCTGACACAGGCATTCCTGCCATGGCACTGGCACTATGGTGTGCTCCAAAGTAAGGGGCCCTGGACAGATGCCAAATCTGTGAGCTTGAACTTTCAGCCCCCACCCCCAGAAAGTGAGCTCTAATAAACCCCCTTTCTTTACATGCCCAGCTTTGACTATCTCTATAATAGTGAGAAATGGATTGCCACACGTATATATGTACAACTTACCCAACACTTACTGCCCCCACCTCCAGTGACTCATGGAAAGCCTGTCTCACATGGCCATGTGTCAGCCATCACATGACCTCCAAACCACCCTCTGACTTGTACTCGGCATCTTACCCGTTTTGTGTTTCTGTGTGCATGCATGTTCAAGCGTATGCAAGTATAACATATGTGCATGTCTCTGGAGACCAGGACAACCACGGTGTTGTTGCTCAGGGGCCACCCAGCTTATTTCCAAACAGAGTCTCTCAATACCTGGACCTTACCAAAGAAGTGGGGCTGGCTGCCCAGTGAGCTGATTTCTGCCTTCCCGGTGCTCACACGGGTTGGGGGCATTACTCACTCCTGGGGAATCAAACTCAGACCCTTGTGCAAACCCTTTCCCAGCTAAGTCATCTCCAAAGCCCAGCATCTGAACTTTTCTTTCACGACGGGAGGCCTGATACAGAAACACTGGAGTACCCACTCCCTAGGGTGGGAGTCCGGACTAACGAAGGAGCTGTTAAGTATGTTAAGCTCCCCTATGTTGAACTGACACCCATGGGTTCTCACCATACTGTGTGTGGAGTGTAACAGTGTCCCGAAATACCCTCTGAGGACGTGGCAACTGTTGAGCTATTAAATATAAGCCAAGTAGAGAGATGCATTTCCATGGTAACCTGAATATTACAAAAGATGTCTTTGGTTTCTGTGGTGGCAGGCACTCTCATGCCCCCAAGGGTTCCCAGGACACTTTCTGGAAACTCATTTTCCATTGGTTCTGCAGCCCGCCTCTGACTACCGGACTTTATTTTCTCTACCGTCAGGGCTCTGCCTGACTGCAAACCTACGTACCGGGGCTTCAGTGACTCAGCTGTCCCCACTCAATGTCCAGACCAACTCACACCAGAATGAACCCCAGGAAAAAGACTTCACCTCCCAAACCAAGATTCTCCGCTCCTCACTTGGCCTCCAGCTGCTGAGGAGTCCAGGTTCTGCCGCTGTCACCCTTGAACGCTGCCTTTCGCTGAGGCTCAGATTCTACACCTCCAAGGTGGGGAATAAGCACCAGGTTTCCATGAGGAGCAGAGGAGGGGAGGGAGACCCTGCATCAGTGCACATACCCCACCCTCCCCTCCCAACTCTCCCTTCCAGCTAGTGCTGGCTGATTCCAGTTTGTTCCAGACCCACTCCTCCACTCGGCAGGAGTCCGATTTAAAACAAGCTTCCATCCTTAGGAAAACCCACAAGCCTTGTCAAAAGGAATTCCACACCAAGGTACCCAAGACTGTTGCCTGAAGTATATGACGCCTTTTGTTCCCCAAGAATGCGAGTCTTCCTAGATAGCACATCGGATAGGAACTTCTGTGACACAGCCAGTAGTGACAATGATAAGCTAAGTTGTCCGTAAGCCTGTCACAGGTTCCGTGTCTTTGCCTGAAATAGCCCCTGGTTTTCACTTCCCCTACTTTAGCAAGCACTTCCCTTTATTTCCCAATTCTGTGATTTTTTTTTTTTTTTTAGTTAACAGAAAGTCTTTATTTCACAAAAGAAAGGGGTTGGAACAGACAAGTACATTTACCGCTAACCAGACTCCTCTTCTAGGTGTACAGATGGAGGGCGGTTATGGGCAGAATTTATTTCTAGCTCAGGTCAGCTGCTCCTGAGTTCCACCTTCTTTCCTTTCTAAATTATACAGCAATCGATGTCTCAATGTCCTGTTATTGCTGTCTCTCTACACAACACTGTCACATGCACAGAACGGCTGGGGAACTGGTGATGCCATCAACAGCAAAACGATTTCCCAAACTAGCTGAATGCCCTTGCTCAGACAAATATAGCCCCTGGGACTTAAAAATAAATAAATAAATAAAAATGGAATAAACATCCACAGAGAAACGGATGTCATGGTGAAGGATGCATCATGTAATGGTACCCTAAAAAACTGGGGGGAGGGGACACCGGCTTGACAAAGAAAGCTTTCTTTGACAGGCACAGAGTCTCAGGCAGACTAGAGTCTACATCACATTCTAAAGGCTATAAGGAGACAGAATATGTAGATCTCAAAGACCCACGGGC